AATAACAGTTCTGTCATTCATAACTCATAAGACACTGGCACCTGCCTGTTACTGTTTGCAATGCTACAGCAATGGGGAGGTAAGCTATTCAGCCCTGTAGAAATTCATACAGGTCTACTTCTGTCTGAAAGTATCATTTGGCTGCCAAATTTTCCGTACTGCCCACAGTAGAGTCACACTTCAGTGATATAATTCATCTTGGGTGGCGACAGCTCAACCGGCTCTCTTATCAGCTCGACACCGCAGAGACACACACACACCATTTTCTTTTGATGGATCGTGCTATAATCGTTATGGAAGGGCCGCGGCCTGGCCTACTTCCTGCTGCTCCATTATCCGTGCATGGCCTATTTCTGTGGTCTGAGCTTTGCGGCCTTAGTGTTGATGTGATGCAATGACAAGGTCCTGCAGACATAACTAGGTCTATAGGCTGACACCCCGAAGGCTCCCACATCACGCTGGATCTGATCCTCATGTACAGACACGTTAATGAACCATGGTGACGTTCAAGTTATCAGACTGATTTACGCGTGTTATTTCACTAAGTGACAGACATTCTGCTAAACTGGAAACAACAGTCCAGAACAATTCTTTGTTTATCTTTATTAACTCTATATTTATACATGAGGACTGATCCCACTGAAGTTGGCGTGCAGGTGCAGACATTACAGGAAGTCAGAACTCAGCTGGACAAGTTCAGCGGGACACAGAGGAATTCATTCGTGGTTCAGGTGTTGATCTTTTCCTCATCCTCACATCTGAACACTGTAATGTGAGACGAGGTGACTGCTGCTGAACTGCAGCGATGAATGAATCTTGAAAAGAAAAGATACTCCTGTTCACTTGTATCCAACATGGCGGCCAGGTCATGGACTTTCTGATTTTACAGATAACCAGTACACTAAAATATGTTTCTTCAAACATTTGAGGAGAGAAATAGGCAGTACAGTAACAGATTCATATTTGATCAGAGCAGCCGAGTTTGACAGTTTTACCACAAGTTACAACCCGTGAGTCTGACTGATGACTGTGGCTGTAATCCTACAGTTGGGGCGCTGATTTTCAACTGGTAATCTCTTTTCTTTCTCTACCTTTCTCATTTAACTATTTCCAAATCCTCTTCACTATACTATGACTTTTTTTCGACATACTATACTATGAATGTTTTTAAATACTATACTATGACGTGTTTTTTACGTACTCTATGACTTTTTCAACATACTATACTATGACTTTTTCAACATACTATACTATGACTTTCGACATACTATACTATGACTTTTGACATACTATACTATGACTTTTTCAACATACTATACTATGACTTTCGACATACTATACTATGACTTTTTCGACACACAGTGCGTTTTCGTCATACTACACTATGACTTTCTTTTTACATACTCTACTATGACTTTTTTTCGACATACTATACTATGACTTATTTTTTACATACTCTACTATGACTTTTTCGACATACTATACTATGACTTTTTTCGACATACTATACTATGACTTTTGACATACTGTACTATGACTTTTTTTTTCGACATACTATACTATGACTTATTTTTTACATACTCTACTGTGGCTTTTTCGACATACTATACTATGACTTTTTTTGATATACTATACTATGACTTTTTTTCGACATACTATACTATGACTTTTTTCGACATACTATACTATGACTTTTTCGACATACTATACTATGACTTATTTTTTACATACTCTACTATGACTTTTTCAACATACTATACTATGACTTTTGACATACTATACTATGACTTTTTTCGACATACTATACTATGACTTATTTTTCACATGCTATACTATGACTTTTTCAACATACTATACTATGACTTTCGACATACTCTACTATGACTTTTTTTGAAATACTATACTATGACTTTTTTCAACATAATATACTATGACTTTTTTTGACATAGTATACTATGACTTTTTCGACATACTATACTATGACTTTTTTCGACATACTATAGTATGACTTATTTTTCACATACTCTACTATGACTTTTGACATACTATACTATGACTTTTTTCGACATACTATACTATGACTTATTTTTCACATACTATACTATGACTTTTTCGACATACTATACTATGACTTATTTTTTACATACTCTACTATGACTTTTTCAACATACTATACTATGACTTTTGACATACTATACTATGACTTTTTTCGACATAGTATACTATGACTTTTTCGACATACTATACTATGACTTTTTTCGACATACTATAGTATGACTTATTTTTCACATACTCTACTATGACTTTTGACATACTATACTATGACTTTTTTCGACATACTATACTATGACTTATTTTTCACATACTATACTATGACTTTTTCGACATACTATACTATGACTTATTTTTTACATACTCTACTATGACTTTTTCAACATACTATACTATGACTTTTGACATACTATACTATGACTTTTTTCGACATACTATACTATGACGTATTTTTCACATGCTATACTATGACTTTTTCGACATACTATACTATGACTTATTTTTTACATACTCTACTATGACTTTTTCAACATACTATACTATGACTTTTTTTGAAATACTATACTATGACTTTTTTCGACATACTATACTATGACTTTTTCGACATACTATACTATGACTTTTTTCGACATACTATAGTATGACTTATTTTTCACATACTCTACAATGACTTTTTCAACATACTATACTATGACTTTCAACATACTATACTATGACTATTTCGACACAGTGTGTTTTTGTCATACTATACTATGACTTTCTTTTTACATACTCTACTATGACTTTTTCGACATACTATACTATGACTTTTTTCAACATACTATACTATGACTTTTTTTGACATGCTATACTATGACTTTTTCGACATACTATACTATGACTTTTTTCGACATACTATACTATGACTTATTTTTCACATACTCTACTATGACTTTTTCAACATACTATACTATGAATTTCGACATACTATACTATGACTATTTCGACACAGTGTGCTTTTGTCATACTATACTATGACTTGTTTTTTACATACTCTACTATGACTATTTCGACATACTATACTATGACTTTTTTCGACATACTATACTATGACTTATTTTTCACATACTCTACTATGACTTTTTCAACATACTATACTATGACTTTTGACATACTATACTATGACTTTTTTCGACATACTATACTATGACTTATTTTTCACATACTATACTATGACTTTTTCAACATACTATACTATGACTTATTTTTTACATACTCTACTGACTTTTTCAACATACTATACTATGACTTTCGACATACTCTACTATGACTTTTTCAACATACTATACTATGACTTTTTTTACATACTATACTATGACTTTTTTCAACATACTATACTATGACTTTTTTTGACATGCTATACTATGACTTTTTTCGACATACCATTCTGACTTTTTTGACACACTATACGATGAGCCTTTTTTGACATACTATACTATGACTATACTTACTTTTTTCAACATACTATACTGACTTTTTTCGACATACTATACTATGACTTTTTTTTGACATACTATTCCGACTTTTTTCGCCATACTATACTACGACTTTTTATGAGACACTATACTATGACTTTTTTGTCATACTTTACTATGCCTTTTTTGGACATACTATACTATGATTTTTTCTTTGACATACTATACTATGACCATGTTGTTGACTTAGTAAACTATGACTTTTTGCCAACATACTATACTATGACTTGTTTTGGCCTATTATACTATGACTTTTTATGTCACACTACAATACAACGACTTTTTATGACAGACTATACTATGGTATTTTTTATATACTATACAATGACCTCTTATGATATACTACACTATGACTTTTTATGACATAGTATTCCAGGCCTACATGCCGTCATGCATCTCAATATCAGTTAGGAAAAAGAAGAAAAGCCAAGGTTCCAGTTCAATCTTTTATTTGTGGACAGTTTGACTGGTTCATCTGATAACAGAAGAAAAGGAATACAAAAAGGGTATTAATCTAGACACCATAGTCACTAACTCCAATCAATAAATAATCCAACAAAGGCAATCTACCTCCACAACTTTAATTAAGAAACACAGTATTATCTTAAAGTAATGAAACACATCTATACAGCAAATGAAACACAAACTAGTAAAGCTGACACAAATGCATTTAAACAAAATAAAACTTACATTTCATATACAGTTCAAACAATAGCAGGGATAACGCATCTACATGCAGCACATCTGTTTGTTGTCAGAGGGTTTGTCCTTTTGATCTGATTGCCTTTAAAGGCTCTGAGCCATGTAAAGAGAGGTTAGAAAAGGGAGGTAGTATGTCATAGTATGACATCTTTTAATGGCATAGTATACCATGAATTTTTAAGTTCATACTACACTATAACTTTTGTATGGTATACTATTCTATTATGTTTTTTTCACAGCATACTATAATAATGATAATATAGTATGTCAAAAAAAGCCCAATTTTTGTAATGTCTTATTATAGTATGTAAAAACAAGTCATAGTATAGTATGTCAAAAAAGTCATATTATAGTATGTCAAAAAAGTCAGAGTATAGCATAGCGAAAAAAAGTCATAGTATCGTATGTCAAAAGAGTCATAGTATAGTATGGTGAAAAAAAGACATAGTATCGTATGTCAAAAGAGTCATAGTATAGTATGTCGGAAAAAAAGTCACAGTATAGTATGTCAAAAAAAGTCATAGTATAGTATGTCGAAAGAAGTCATAGTATAGCATGTCGAAAAAAAGTCATAGTCATAGTATTGAGATTGACCGTGCCCCTGTTGTGTGTGTGTGTGTGTGTTTTCTCTTCATGTTTATTACCTTGGCGTATATATGTGTGTGTGATATGAGTCATTTTCTCAGGAACTTCTCTGTTGTGAACTTTGAAACTAATCCTAAAGTAATCATGCGGTCAGGCTCAGCCCTGTGACACATGAAGCTAAAGCTTTAGCCTATTTATGGACTTACTAAACACTGAATCAACAACAGGAAGTAAATGCAGAGCTGGAATCACAGAAGAAAAGAAGCTTGTGGAGATTTCAGACGGAGCCTTTGACCCATGCTCCATCTGTGGATTATGAATAAACAAGAGCCCTGACATGGCAGCTTCTTACGGTGAGTTATTTTAAGCTATTTAAATGAACAGAGGGCAGGTGTGTTCTGGTGTGTATGAATGGGAGATGATGATGTTTGTCAGGTCCAGAGTTGATCCTGCTGTTACTGGGTGAGAAACAAAGTGGGAAGAGCTCAGCAGGAAACACCATCCTGGGAAAACCAGCCTTTCACAGAAAAACAACCCGCAGCTGCAGAGAGAGCGGCACCACCTGTGGAAGACGAGTGAGTACACACAAGTTTACAGTTTGCATCTGAACCTCAAGTCTTGTCTCTACTCTGACTAAATCTGATCCACCAGGTGACCGTGGTGGACACCCCAGGGTGGCTGTCCCACTCCACTACTCCACACAGAGTATCCCAGGAGCTCTGCAGAGGTCTGACCCTTTGTCACCCAGAGCCTGATGTCATCCTGCTGGTACTGCCCATCACCTCCACCTTCGGCCCAGGGGAGTGGAGGGCCATGCAGGCCCAGCTCAGCCTGCTCCAAACCCCCATCTGGCAGCGAGCCATGGTCCTGTTCACTCATGGAGACAAGTTAGGTAAACTAATGATCATTTATTAGTGTGATATGTTTCCTCTCTGCGCTCACTGGTTATGTGTCTCTGTCTCTATACTAATTGGCCAGGGGGCGTTGCTGTCTGATTTATTTTTGTGTTTGTGCATTTGTTAATTAATTTGTTGGATTGTCCATCGATGTTCTCAGAAAAAACACATCCTTTATTTTTGTTCCACAATAAAAAACATATGTTTGAAATCTCAGAAATTGGCTTGACTTTATAAAAAACATGGCAAGAGGACAATAAGCCATGAAAAAAGAAAATTTGTAAAATAAATAAATAAATAAAATAAGAGAAAGAAAGATAATAATAATTTTGTAACATCATTTTGAAATGTAATAATAATATTAATTATAAATACAGTTTCCCCAGCTTTTTGCTTCTTTCCCTATTTATTTTTTTTTTCTTTTTATTTTCTAAATGTATTATCTTTTGGCAACTTGTGGGACATTTCTTACCAAGTTGCTCTTTGGCTTTTTCCCATATTTTTGTCAGAAACTGCACCAATGTGCTCAGGGTTCAAAGGTTTAAATACCGCGTCTGAAAGCAGCACAGGAAAAGTGATGTCACCCCAGGTTTCAAACGGTTAACAGCATTTCTACAACCATTTATTGGTGAACAGTGGGCGTGGAAATGAGGCTCATACCCGTTACGCCAAGCATCACAATTACTGAGATTAAGTATGGCGACTTTATAAATCTGCCTCTGTCACAGCCTCTTAAAGACCATAATGCCTTCAGTTATTTTCAGCAGTGGGGTCAGTGGTGAGGTGCGCTAAACTAAGGCGGTGAACATTGTCAGCATGTTAGCATCTCCATTGTGATCATGTTAATAATGTTAGCATTTAGTTGTACATGGTTCCTCTCCTTGTTTGGGTTTAACTGAACCAGTGAGGTTGTTTCTGCTGCAGGAGGCCTGTCGATCCAGGAGCACATACGACAGCAGGGTCGGACTCTTCACTGGCTGCTGGAGCGATGTGGGAACAGGTACCAGGTGATGACCAACCAGTCTGGGGTGTCAGAGGCTCAGCTCACTGAGCTCTTTGAGAAGCTCCAGAGGATGATTCAGACTAACAAGTGTCCGAGGGAGATCCAGGACAGGATGTACATGCTGCTGAGACGAGATGTGAGCATGAAGGAGGACAGAAGGGCGCAGGGAGGACAGGAGGAGATAGAAATGACAGTGATACATGACGTGCATGACAGGAGGCCGGGGAAAAGGAAGCAGACGACCTCAGGAGAGGCGTGGGTACCCAGAGGTAGGTTTGAACTTTAATTAGAGACTTCTAATATTACCCACAATCAGCAACACCTGGAATAAAATGTGTTTAAGTCTAAAATATGAAACCATTACAGTGTTCGAAGCGGAGCCTGCTGGTCTGAAGCCTGCTCTTTGCCTCGTCCTGCTGGGGAGGAGGAAGTCAGCGAAAAGCTCCGCTGGGAACATAATCCTGGACAGTGAAGTGTTTCAGACGGACATGAAGACCACCAGGTGCTCTGCAGGCCATCGGAAAGTGTCAGGGTGGCCCGTCACAGTGGTGGACACGCCCGGGTGGAGTCTGTTTGGTCTGGCCAATCCCAAGCAGGTCAGGATGGAGATCAGTTGGAGCACTTCCCTCTGCCCTGCGAGGAGCAAAGTGTCCTTCGTGCTGGCTGTACCTGTGGACTCATTCAGAGAGAAAGACAGGAGAGCTGTGGAGACGTACCTCAGTGTTTTGGGGAGTGATGTATGGAGGAGCACTGTGGTGTTGTTCACGTATGGAGAGGAGCTGCGAGGACGGACGGTGGAGAATCACATTTAGAGGAGCGGAGAGCCTCTGAAGTGGGTGCTGGACAGATGTGGACGCCGCTATCAAGTGTTAGATACAAATACAAGAGACAAGACTCAAGTGAATCAGCTGCTGCAGATGATAGAGAGGCTCTAGGGAGGATATAAATGTGACCTGCAGTGGTCATGGGTTATTTATTACAAATATAGTTTTAATCTAAACCTACAACAGTATTTTTTATGCCTCAGCAATTATGAAGTAAAAGAGAGGAAGCCAGTCTGCTGTCATTGACTTGTTCAGATTAGTTTTCTACAGCACAATAATGTTTTACGACAAGTTTTCCATGTTTGTGTTAATAACAAATACCTTGTGATCACTACCACATGACATATATCCACTTCTACCTTTATGATACATTCCCTCAGCCTTATTTGAATTGTGTGTTTCATCACTTGACATATTGTAATCCATAACAACGTTAGAAATGTTTGTTTTTTTGTCATCTGGCTGAGAGTAGTCATCTTGTACTGAGGCGACCTGCTGTTATTCATCAGCTATGTGTGTGACGTTATCTTCACCATCTTTACTGTAAATATAATTTCTAAAAATATTTATTTGTTGGAACATTTCTATAAATAAATCTTGGTTTGTTTTCAGTTTTGAAGTTTGTATTTAACTGTAATATTTGTGGACATATTTGGTCTGTTTCTCCTGGAGGGTGGTTTTGTTTATGTAACCTGTTTTGTCCCGCTTTGTGTAGAAATGGAGACAGTTTGAACAGATGAGGGGGACAGAGGGACACATGAGGGGGACAGAGGGACACATGAGGGGGACAGAGGGACACATGAGGTCAAAAGTCTGAAACTCAAAAAACAGATTTGAAACTGAAAAAAAAAAGATTTGAAAGTGAAAAAAAAAGATTTGAAAGTGAAAAAATAAGATTTGAAACTGAAAAAAAAAAAGATTTGAAAGTGAAAAAATAAGATTTGAAACTGAAAAAAAAGATTTGAAACTGAAAAAAATAAGATTTGAAACTGAAAAAAAAAGATGTGAAAGTGAAAAAAATAAGATTTGAAACTGAAAAAAAAGATGTGAAAGTGAAAAAATAAGATTTGAAACTGAAAAAAAAAATGTGAAAGTGAAAAAATAAGATTTGAAACTGAAAAA